TAGGTTAAAGTGTAAAATAATTAAATTACCTGGAGTATAAAGTAACATTTTATTTTCTATCAAAATTAGTTCATAATATATTACATTATAAAATTAATTCAACCTAAATACCTTCGCTGTATTAATGAAAAAGTAAATAAATTACTTTAATAGCAATAATATCACAAAATATATTTCACAAACATATTAGTCATTATAGGTAGTCGAACAATATTATATTGTTATTTTTTTTATCATAGCTTTTAACACAAATTAAAAGTTAAAGGGAGTGGTTAAAAACGGGCGGGGAGGGGGGTGTATTTCGGCCCAGAAGAATACAAAAGTACCCACTTACTTACCAAATATCAAATTAATAAACTATAACTATATATATACCTACATCGATACAAGTGTTGAACAGCCATGTTTACAAATTACAATAGTTTATACATTAGGTATTACATTGACAACAGTCTAATTACCTATACAACACATTACAAGCAAATAATTTTAATTATTAATGTTACAATATTATGTTTATATTTAATTAGAAATCTTATTCAATAGTAGTGTGCTTTTAGAATTGAGTATTTCAATAATTTTATAATTATTTATTTTGTACAGAACATCCTTTTTTTATTTTCATGAGCTAAAAACTTCTACGTCACTTTGTGTACCTACTACTGTAGTAGATACTACAAGAAGAAAATCAACTCACAAAATCTCTGTATATATTTTTATTTTCTAAGAAAACGTTTTCCATGCTTGAAATTTTATGAGTTAATATTTGAACTAATTTTATTAGAAAATATTTGATCTATTTTTATTAAAAATTTAGTATTATCTACTATAATCTATGTAATTGTATTATTTTACATTTTAACATTTTATTTATAATATTTTTTTCTAAATTTTTAAAATTGGATATTTTTCCATGGATATTTTGACCTAGATTCATCTTTATCCTCTGCAAGAATAAATAGAGGAATTATTCAGTTATTGATAAGTTTTTGGGTATATATTATAATATACTATATGATAGTGCAGCGGAAAAATATCTGGTAGCAAACTACCATGCTAAATTTTGTTAGGAATTTAATAAAAAAAAATTGTATTGTTGATTTGCGTTTCTATGGCAATAAGCAAAGCGTTACGAAAACAGTCCTTGCCAAAGATTGGTTAGAAAAATAAAAGTTGTTCTCAGCGCAAAAGACAAAAACATCTATGTTAGAAGAAAATAATAATACCGTATAGGTATAAAAGCATAATACATCCTGCTATAATCATCGAGTATACTAATACCGTAATTTTTTTTTATTTAATATTTTACCTGCTTCAAAGCAATTCAATTGGCAAATTTTTTTTTTAATGTGTTTTATACAAAAATTTGTTACTATTTACCTACAACAAAAATACCGTAATTATATTACCTTTTTCGTAGTTATATACTTATATAGTCAATATTTTATTGAAATGAGTTGTAAACAAGTAACAACCATTGTATTCTAATATATTATGTACCACGGTAATACCGATATACGACCACAACAACCTTACTCGAGATGTATACGGTGTTAAAACCTAGTAAAAATGGACTGCTTAGTTGAAGAATTTGGACAGCGGCACATATATCGCAGCATAATTTTTAGACGCCGATGCCAAAGTCATCCACTATCTGAGGTTATCCAACCACACTCGACTCGAACGATGTGATAACACTACAGCTAGTACAGCCCATGTTTCCATCGTCCAACAGACTCATGCAGAGTCAATAATAATAATAATAATAATAATAATAATATATTATAATGCATAATAATTATATAATATTATTTTATAAAGGTTTCATACGAATTTGGCGTTCAGTGAGATATATCTGCAGCCGTAGGTATATGCTGAACGAGATACTATTATATACAATATTTATGAGTATCGCTATCCTTACCGAATTTTTCTAATGAAATTCAACTTTCCCGTCAAATGTGAGTAGCAACTATGTAGGAATTATAAAAAGCTGGTCAGAAATTCACAGGAATCAAGAACTAAATATTCAGGTGAAAAAAAATATGCTCAATTCAAGCTTCACTTATCTATGTTAGTATAGGGATTATTACTAGGTATTTTGATTTAAATAAAAGTAATGTATTGGATAATATATGTAGTTCATTGTAATTATGTACAACTATACTATATACCAGTTACCATACAAGACGATTTTATGCACATCGATAATCGAGCACAGACATTTCCGTTTATACTACACACATACACTATATTATGTATCACTATAATACTATATGTATGAGTATATTATGTTATTATCAAATAGACACTATATTTCTCAAAAAATGTATAGCTTAGGTCATAATACACACCGTAGTACCATAATTCAGTGTAACAATCGTAACGTTTGATAATCCATACGACGATACCTCAGTTTTTCGAGCAACGCAATAAAAAAAAAAAAAAAGAGTTATTTTCGGGTTATTAAGAGTGTCCGCCACATTTGTGCGTTGAAAATTGTTTGAATAAAAATAAAACCTTATTATGCATGTATAATGTATTATAGATATATGTATGTATATTATAATAATACTATGTCATAATATGTAAATTATTCGCTTTTTTTAAATGTCTGTACGCAAAATAAAACACAATGTTTATCTGCAACGCGCACGAAAAAGTATAAATAATTTTAAATTTTAAATAGTCGATATAAGAACTTTATTAAAAATGTTATTGATGATAAATCAAAACTTTATGATTATATTTGATTGGGGTTTCATAGAAAACATGCATGTAATATTTTATTTATTACTCTCAGGATATGCAATAAAATTATTATAAATATATGTATATATGTGTAAAATGTATAAATCTCTAGTTAAAATGGCAATTCAATGAATACATATGACATTTTTAGGGTTGGTTATACTGTTTATCATGCATTAATGCATATTTGTGTACATTTTAATTACTAAATTTTATTTTATTTATTATTTTTATGTTTATGGTTGTCATGGCTAAAAATAACTGGAATTAATAATTAATATTATCGTATGTACCAGGTACCTATAGCCTATATTATACATATGCGTTGCTTACAATGATGGATTTAGAATAATAAATTGGAATAATTTTTATAGGTAGTTGTTTCAAGATTAGTATCAAAATTAAAATGTATTTATACTGCTTAAATCTACCTATAGATATATTGTTTTTACACAAGTTAGAGTTTATTATTGGGGTTAAACACTTATAATACTAGCTTGTAAAACAAAAAAATCATTAAATTTCGATAAAAAGAAGTTGATTGAATTCATGGTGGTACCTACTGCAGTACTGTCATCTGTATGCATGATAGTATAATACACATGCGTTATTTTGTATTATAATTTATAATATAGTATAATATCACGTGATTGGTCGAAATCAACATTTGTGTGAAGTTAACTGGACTTGATTTATACATGTATACAGGTTTATAACAATCATGCTCGCTCTATTTTTCTACAATAATGCAGTTATTCAAAATATTATTTATGGAATTATTAAATATTTTGCACTACTTAATTGTAGCCTATTGTACCTATACTTTACAGCAGAACGACATCCACTTACCTACCTTTTTAACTCTTTACCTCCTATAAGGTATCAATTAAATTAACTTTTCTAGCAAAAAAGAAATTAAGTTATTACATGTGTGATGTGGACATACAATATATGTACTTACTCGACAAAAATTAAGTACCTATATATAGGTAGGATAATTACTTTTAATTTCCTCTATGAAGTATGAAATATATAATTGTGTTATCACTTTTAATTATTTTCACTATCGCATTGTATTTATAATAAATAAAATGCATAATATTTAGTACCATTTGGGATGTGTGTTCGGGCAGAGAAAATGAGTGCCTATATTAAGCATATTATTATATGCTCCAAATGTCTTAATCCAACACTGTATTTGGGTATAACGCATAATATAAATACGAGTATGTATACCTAGTAGGTAGTGATATAATATAATAATTAATATTATTTTATAGAATATATATAATAATTAATATTATTATATAGATTATAGAATATGTATAATAATTAATATTATTATATAGATTGTAGAATATATATAGGCAATAGGCATTATATAATTTAACGAAAGTCTATAATGTATACCCAGACGGACAGACTTATATATAGTGCTTTGTTATATAAGTCTATTATATTATATATTGCAAATCAACTGAATATGTCATCTGCAGAGCTTTGATTGAAACTATATGACGTGTATAGGTATATCGTATATACGTATATACGTCCAAATGGAATCGTTTGTAACGTCTTTTAAGTATATTATTCTAATATACATAATTGATTTATTTCGAAGGACGGAGTCTTTGATCTCGTAATGTATACATATAGCATGTACAATAATAATAAAATGTATATTTTGTATTGTTTCTAAAATATCACAATATATAAATCTCGCGGCCGCCGACACTCTGACGCCAGCGCCGGTCAGACGGTTTTATAATATTATAAAAAACAATAATGACATTATCGATACAGTGTATAACAATATTATAATGATGATGATTAACGATAATACGATATGAATATATGATATAATTGTACTATTATTATGATGTTTTTTTTTTTTCTTCGAGTTTGTTTCGGTTAACCGTGGCGTAAATCACGCACTTGTGAGCAGCACGCGTGAGGCGTCGCCACGTCGGTATATTTTTAATTTTTTATATAGATCCAAAAAGCCAATTTGTAAAATATGGTTTTACGAAAAAAAATCGGTTGTTGGTCCTTTGTAAAATAGACGGGCCCAAATACATATAATCATGCTGGCCGATTAGTAAGTACTCGCTGCTACGCGCGTTATACCCGTCGTCTGGGAGATAATTGATTTTCTCGACAACGGAGTAAAACGAAATCTCAACATTTGTTTACTTACAAATTATCATTCGACGTCACACGTGCACACATATTTACAATAGTCAATAACCATGTCAAACTTCGACAAAGAAAGCATCAACACCGTGATCGAGCCGATCGAGGAGGTGATGGAAGACGTCATCGCGGCAGTGGTGTCTGATTCCATCGAGGTGACCGTCCAGTCGGTGCTCCAGGACGTCGTAACCATGGAATTTGGCTACGGACAACATATACACCTGGACACCAGCACCGATAACTACATAGACAATGATAGACGGATGGTCGCCATCATCGGCCAATTGGTCTACGCTAGGTTATGTTGGTGTCAGTACGTTGTCCTCCATGCCGCACGTACAGCCCGAAGACGTCTCCAGGGAGGAGAAACGCCGAGGACATGTAGGCGAACGGCGTTGACATCGAGGTCGTTCAAGACGACTTCCGACCGAGGGCTCATTTGAGGCTAGGAACATGTTAGAGAATCTGGACGGCAGGCTTGATCCATTAGGATTAGTTGAACTGGCAACCCACGCAGTAACTCCACGTGGGCGGATAAGGCGATTCGCGGCCATCTCGTGGAGGGGAGTAAAACGGACCGGGCGTGTGGTAATTTGCCTAAGTTGCAACTAGCGATGCGAAAGCGTCTGCAGAACCCGGCAACTCCGTTCCTTGGTCGAGGGCAGCAGTCAAGGCGAAACGATGTGGGGTCGAGGTAAGGTACGTGAAAGTGCACTTTTGGGGTGATCGGCGGTAAGTCACCAACACTTGTTATCCGGCCACCGGCGGTGGGGATACGGGATCGTGGACGTTGCAAGCTCGAGGTCGGTGACACGCGAGACCCTCTGCAGGACTGCAGGAGGCTCGGCGGGCCCCGGCTACATCGGTCCGCGAGAGAGACGACGACGGTCGACGACACGACGACGGAGCTGACAAGCTGTAACGGCGAGGACAGCAATGCCCATTAAAATTGCCAACTCTATATGAATAATATGTTTTACTTATCAGTTATCACCATGGCAACCATTTATATACAAAGCATTCCATCGGAAATTTCAAAATAATATATAACTGGTTGTCATGGAGACGCACACATACATTCATTTTTATATATATAGATGGTGGTTAGGAACGCGGACGTTAGCAGCTCCGAATCCACGGAGACGAAAAGTTTCAGGATTTGGCTGTGCCCGAACTTGGTCACCAAAAACCACGCTTGAGAAAAAGTCGGAAATCGAAAAACACGGGTAAAATGTACCAATATAATATTATGTATATAGAACGGTCAGGTATCGATATATGCGTGTGTATATAATATTATACGATCGATGTATGTCTTTAACGTTTTTCGACATTTGTGATGCGATTTCCACCGGTTTTTCGTTACGCGCGGTTTGAATCATTTGATTTATTTCACGGATGGTTCTTCGGGAGGAAAATAATAATAATAATAATAATATGATATATGGATTGCGTACCTACATAATAATATAAAATATAGGTTGTATGTACCCACTATAAATAAGGTACCTATACGGTTGCCACGCAATTCGGCGGCAGTAAATCGTTCGGTATTTAGTGTTGTAAAAGCGCTTTTTTCCTCGATCGCAATACCTATTGCCCTCCTCGTGCATGCCCTCCTGTTATACCTAACCTCTATTATAATGCAGTGTGTTTTGTGTACGTATTCGAGTCGTTTTAAGACATTGTGTGTATGTCGGAGCCAGCCGTCGACAATAATAATAATCAATTGGAGATTGTTGTACACGCGTATTATGCGATTCCGGTGCGCAGCGTTGTGCGTGCGCGTGCGAAACGGATGGATATAGGGCCGAAGAGTGAGCGAGAGGGAGCGAGAGAGCGAGCGAATGATCGAGACCGCGACGGTGATGGGGGGAGAAAGAGAGATACGGCCCGACGGCGACGATGGGAAGAAACGCGTCGTCGCCGCGGCGCGCGGACGCATAAATCGCGAAGTTGGCAGCGTATGACGCTCCGGGTCGTAAATTTATGAATTACGAGGGCACACCGCCACCGAGTCACTGCCATATACGCTGTGTATGCCGTCGTGTCGTTGTGTACAGCCATGAATGCCGGCCAATCCAATATGATAATTACCAAAAAATTGCGCTACGCGCGCGCGCGTTTGTATGTGTGTGTCTGAGGGGGATGGGGTCGTCGCAGCAGCAGCGCCGTGAGAGACAGGAGGGTCGGTTGAAAGACACACGACGGTGGCGGTGTGCGTGGAGATAAAAAGAGCGTTTAATTTATGGACCGGCGGCGGATCGAGCCGAGAGAGGATCCGACACGACCATATAACAAAGGAAGAAGTTTCGACCGCTGCCGGTGGAGTTTTGCGCGCGGGTTTCGTCCGCGGCGATCGTCCTGCTACTATATGACGCCGCCGCGCGAAAGGGGTCCACCACCGCTCGAGCGGCTCATAAATTTGTCACTTTTATTGTGTAGCCCGTTATGCGTGTGTGCCCGTGTCGCAGACTGTGTATGAGTGAGTGTGGTGTGTGTGTGTGTGAGAGAGATAACTTAAGCCACTGTGGATCGAACCGCACCGGTCGGTCGGTCGGGTCATGGAAAACTCATTTGTACATTATAATATGATATATATATACGTATTTGTTACGACGTTTCGCCACGGAAACTGATTTCACAAGACACAATATAATACAACGTAATACAATGCTACTGTAATAATATGCTGAATTGTGATAATAATATAATAATATTTTATGGTTTATCACAATAACACTTAAAACCAATCGGGTCAAAAACCCGAACTCAATAATAATAAGGTTGTAATATTGTTGCATACATTTTAAGAAGAATAGCACAAATATTTGGCGTATTACATCGTTTATTGAATGTATAATAAGGAAGTGCAATTTATTTAGTGCAAAATGCAAATACCAATAGTGTGCAGTGAATGAGCACCCAGGCTCCAAACATAGTACCTTGTTAATGGCACCACTAGATGCTTTAGTCCCGAGCTTAATTTTAACACCCCCGGCTTCTTAATTCCAAAATTAGTGATTTCACCAGGTCACCTGCACACCTGCGTTTGTTGTCTCCGTCTTGAAAGTCCGTAACATACAACTGCGGTACACTGTTCTCAGGGGGGTGGGCCATGGAGTAATGTAAGCACGTCTTGCAAGCGGCCACAATGCCACATCATATCTGTAGTGGTATGTATGGTATTAGTGACGGGACGGCGAAAAAATTACGTATCGAACGAACCGGCGGTCTTCCCGAATTTTCGCCAAAGAATCCCGTCGGCCGAGCACAAGTAGCCAATCGGGTGACACGTACAGTCGGTCACAGTCGTCAAGCGATATTTGATACAAAAACGACATTACAACAATTATATTTATAATATACAAAGTTTAATGATAAAATCGGAAACTACTCATAAAAGTCAGATTTTGATGAATCAACATTTTCAAAAAAGTAAATTGTTTAACAATTAACAGTAAAAAAAGGGTGGTTCTATAATTTTATAAGTTTGTATCACAGGACACTCCGTTATTAGTATAAAATATCTAAACAATCTAAGTATTTTAAAATAAGATCCTTATACCTATATAGATACCTAACATTCAAAAGTCAACATTTAAATAAATACACTGTAGGAATAAATGGGGGTGAATCACTCTACATTATGAAAGAACCCAAGTATTAAAAGGAGATCTTTAAATTGACGTACTAATTACTTTTAAGTTATAAATTATAGATTTTAGGTACCTATAATCTATATAATATATTGTCTACTTACTCCATAGTTCTTAATTTATTTTACGTTTAGTTTAAATGTATTGTTTTTATGACTTTATATTTTATCAAGGTACGTCGATATACGTAGCACCGCATTTTAGGTGTGTTCATTTTTTCCCGGGCAAAGTTGGGTGATACAGCTAGTATATGTAATATATAAGATAAATAATTATTATATAATTATTATATAATTATTAATATAATAATAAATAATTATAATAATAATATAATATAATATAATATTATTATAATTATAATATTTTAATAATTATTATATAATTATTTATATAATATACTACAGATACGACCAATATTTCTATAACATATATCTAAGTAGAGGTGTTGATTGCACTTTCTACTATAGTTTTAAATTACAATTTTATTTTTATTTTTCATTAAAATGAAATATTTTATGAAAGTTTCAAAAAAATTAATTTTATGAAATTTTAGAACCCTAATAAATTATAATACGTCTCTATTCATCTATAAGTCTTATAGTATTACCACAACTACATAGATAGTTTATTCATAATTTATATAAGATTTTTTTAGTCTGCAGAAATTATGGTTATATCATAAATATTTATGTCGTCATTCGTCTGTCACTATTATTATTCAAACCAATCATGTATTATTAATATTGCGAGTTTACGCGTACATACTACATAGATCATTAAAATATACATAGATTTTATTTGTTAATACAAAAAATATTATAATATTATTTATGAATTCCTATAATTTAATTAATAATGTTCATCATCATTCAAAACATTCATTGTACACGTAGGTACAGTTTCTGCCTTAAATTGAATAATCTTCATTCATTAATTATTATTAGTAAACGAACCTGCTTTTTGTAACTATTGACTTTGGCTGATATGACAATTAAAATTAATTCTTTCGTTTTAATTTTCTTATTTTATAAGTTGTCCATCTGGTTTTATTTTTTTATTCTTCTGTTTATATGATAGGTATAATTAGTAGGTAAACGCATTATTCCTTATTGCTACAAAACTTAAGAGTATATCCTGATACTTCTAATTAAAATCGCATATTACTCATTCTTGTTATTGCAACCTACAATCTTAATCTTAATATCATATCACCGATGAATATAATTACACAACCTTTAAGCATAATCTAAGTTGTCTTATATTCATGCTACGATCATATTATGTGAAACAAAAAATTCCAAAAAAGACATAACACGATATATATAATCAAAATCAAGATCAACGGTAATCGGTAAATAGTGAAATTTTTATCAATTTATTTTTTTTAATAAAATTAATGAATTTCACAAGAATACATTATTGTACATGACTGGAAATTAAATTCATGAATTATATGAAATGTCATAATTATGGAAAAAATCAATTAAGAAATTATTTCGAAAAATTAAAAACAGTCTTATCAAAATAATATGGATTTTTTGTTAAGAGAACGCTATACATATATTTATTGTCTCCATCTTACAAGTGCGTAACTAGCAAATGTACGCTCAGCAGATCACGTTTAACTCAATCAGTTTAAAAATTATAGTGGATCGACTAGAACATTATCTGTGTTTGAATATGGGTTTCTTACGATAGTTCAGTTTTTAAGTGAGTTATGAGCATTTTTAATTTAAGCTATATCATTGAATATTACACGCATATCTTGCTAAAAATTTGAATCA